GCTTTATTTCATCTGACATCTCTATATCAGTATCACGCATGTGGATAAGTTTGATAGGCTTACTCGAGAAGCTGACGGGGATATGATTTATTGAGACATTTACAGGGAGTTTTGATGGGTCATGATGAGAGGAGTGCATACTGTGTTTCTCACTAAGGAACACAAGCCCGGTGTGAAGGTTTAAAACCATTTCTTTATGCCCACTTAATCCCCACTTCTCACTTTGAGAAGATCGTTACGGATAAAGCCCTAGCACTCTTTGTCATTAAACATGATCTTCCATTCAATATGGGTGCGATTACTTTTAACTTCTACTATAGTTGGTGTTAATATATTTGACCAAAAGTGTTTATTTCGTAAGAATACTTAACTAAAAACGTCATTTCACAATTGTTAAAGAGGATAAGAGGAACATGTTGGTGCACATGCACGAAATAAAAGAGGGAGAGCCACTAAACAAAATGAGGTGGATAAGTCGGTCTCACCTCCCTTATAAGTAATCTCTCTCTCACACATTCAAGTTTTACACATTAAGTTCAATGTATCATTTAAGTTATGGGAATGCTTACTTTTATAATCATCACAAAGAGTGTACAACTTTTAATAATTTTCATTTATGATGTTTAATTTACTTTCTTATATTTCATTTTACTTTTATTTCTTAATGTTTGCTTTATTTTATTTCTGTCTTTGCTTTAGTTTCATTTATTAGTATTTTTATTTTATATTATTTTATTTTATTTTTCATTCTAAAAAAAATTCATGCTTTTGTAATATATCTTGATCTTTACTTTTTTTCTTCAGTTTTATTTTATGACTTTTTTATCTTAACTATGCTAGTATTTTTTTTCTGCTTATATTTTCATTGCTATTACGATAAAAATATGATGATTTTATATCCTCTTACACAATGTTGTGTTGTTATAGCGTGCGATCACTTGTTGTACGACAAACTTTCTTTGACTTTTGCTGCAGCACCTCACTGTAGTGCCTATGTTTTGGATTTTTCGTCTACTCACTATAGTGTGGAGTTTCTGAGCTGTAGTGGATTCATATGACTTTTGAACCTTGTTTTCATCCTTTTTCACTTTTTTTGCACCTTAAAGCATAGTGTTTATTGTTTACACTTAAAATATAAAAAATAAACCAAGATGAATAATAAGTTAAAATTAGAAATGCACAGAATTATGGATGAAATTGTAGAACTTACATTCCTTACTATGTACCATGAGAAAAGCACCACTCTGACAATTTGTTTACCAACTTGATGGAAGTAAGGCCAATTGTAATTATTTCATGCTAAGTATGTTGCTAACTCTTTTAAAAACAATAAAGAAAAAAAAACCCTATTAAATTACATGAGAAAATGTTAGTTAAATCCTATTAATAAAAAAACATAAACAAGAAGTACAAACCTATTTAAGTTATAAACCCATATTGATAACTGAAGAATAAGGGTTAATATCTTGTTTGAAATTCAATCAATAAGTTGCTAGAGATCATTTAACATGAATGATTATGGTACATGAGCTACCATTTAAGTTTATTGAGCATGAAAAATTATGTGATTTTTGTATGAAGTATTTGCCCTCAGTTTTTTATTTATTCACGAATAACTATTGCATGGAAAAGTTATAAGTTGTATATTCGTTAGAAATCAAAATTGAAGGAAATTTTTAAATATGTTGTTCAATGGGTTTGTCTTAAAATTGACACCTAGATCTCAAACTAAAAAATTAATATTTTTATAACTATATTTTCCTTTGATAGAAGTTGAGGTTTTTCAAAAAAATATTATTGATTTTGATCAAATACATTTTCAGAAGGGTGAGGATATTGGGAGAGTGATTAAAGATGGTTTGATGGATTTAGGACTTTAGAATAAAGTCCTAACTGTCACGATCGGTATATATCAACTGATGGTGTTGTTTGTCAATATTTGGAAGAAAGCTCACTTTGACACGGGTTGCAATTTGTGAGGGGAAATGTATCCACATGATATGTGTTGCACGTATACTTAATTTTATTTTACAAGATGGGTTAGGAGAGCACAATATTAATATTAAGCGTGTATATCTAGTGGTTAAATATATCAGGCATAAACCCAATCGGTTGCACACTCTTAAAGAATGTGAAGTAATTGAGAATATAAAGAGTGATGATCTTTTATGTATTAATGTCGCACCGTGTTAAGATTTAACATAAAATATGTTGAATACAACCAACAAATTTAAGAGAGTATTTGATAGATATGTAGATAATAACATGTCTTTTAGATATGAATTTAATAAAGATAATCGCCTGGGTTGCCTACTGAAGTATATTAAAGAGTTGTTACAAAGTTGTCTATAATATTTAAGAGTTTTTATGGACCTAACTTGCATATCTTTGGGTCTTTATATGTGGTAATGAACACCTTTGTTACTAAAATATGTAAATTACAACACCTCTTGAATACTTGATAGAACAATGATGATCCGAGCATACGTGTTAAATGGTTATGAGGATGAGATTAGAGTTCAATAAATATGTTGTGAGGCTAACAAAATGAACACGCTTGTTTTTGTTGCTTATATTCTTGATTTGAGGTACAACTTGGAGCTTTTAAATGCTATCTTTTATATTATTATGATGAGTATAAAGTATATGAAATGTTGAGCAATATAAAAGAGTTTCTTATGAACTTCATGATAAATATAAAAGATTTGCGTGTCTAATTTTATATATGATAATAATCTATGTGGTCATCGTCATTCAGTAATAGTGCTTCAAATTCGTTAAAAAGTAAGGTTCTTCAATTTCATCATTTGATCAGAGAGAATTATATCAAAGTGCAAATTGATTTAGGGACAACTAAATTTTGTAAAAATGAAATGAATGAACATTTGACATAAGAAATTGAGAATGGACTTTCCAAATTTTTCATGCTCTTACCACTATCGTATATTTCATATCCCTTCATTTATTACATATGATATATTGGCCTCTGAATCAATATTTAGTACTAAAGGACATACCCTTGAAGAATTCATGAGTTTTTTAGCATGAAAGTCTATATATTCTTTTTAGTACATTCTTTTAATACGATACCATAAAAATGTCATCATTTACTTATTACTTTTTCGTTTGTTATCTTATTGAAAATATAAATGGTAAAAGTTTAAATTTGTAAACAAGATTGGCTTTGGGGTAAACCTAAAGTATACGTAGACGAAGATCAATACATGAGTTACGTGAGAAACTCGATGAGGATATTATCATTTATTTGTTTAAATTATGTATATCATTTTTTTAGTTATTTTTTAACTTCAATTTTGTTTTTGAAAAGTTAGAATTAAGCAATACTGAAGTCATTTGTTTGAGTAAGGGCATCATTACATTGGATTAAAAAACTTGATCAATATATTGTCATTTATTCAATGATCTCAATGAGGCAACCATTACACTTGGTTGATTTTGTACATAAAGAGTAAGGTTATGAATTTGTCATGTAAGCTGAAGTTTAGGACTATGAATAATGTAATTTTTGATTAACTTTAGATTGAATTCACCATAATTGTTAGTATTACGAATTCTATTTGTGACAGCTCGGACTCCGATCCAGAGTCCTGACCGTTTGT